GGAAGGAAGGAAGGAAGGAAGGAAGGAAGGAAGGAAGGAAGGAAGGAAGGAAGGAAGGAAGGAAGGAAGGAAGGAAGGAAGGAAGGAAGGAAGGATTCTGCTAGTGTTGTGTAGAGCAGAAAGGCCAACACTCTTGGCTGACTTCATCTTTCCCTGGACCAGCTTAAGCTGTGAGGGTGAAGCCGACTGAACCTGCTCTTCCTGTGTCATTGATTCGCCTCCTTCCCCGAGCTGGAGTTCACTAAGTGCAATATCTACTCCGTACTACCTCTTATGCCTGCTGCATCTTGTAAATAATAGCAAATGCAATTTAGTACTCCTCAAGTTTCATTTAATGACAAATGCAGAAATCACTCCGTTTCATGGAAGTTTTCTAAAAGCGGGGTGATTACTGCTCTGCTCCTGTAATTAAATCAGGAATATCTAGTTAAATAACCCTTTCTAAAAATGCRGCATTGGGGACTCACTACGAACATTATACTACCAAGATTTTTTAGATTTCAGTTTTAGAAAGCAAGCTCCCTTGCAGAAATGAATGTCCCAAAGAACATTGTCAGCACAGTATAACATCCCACTGAAGTTAGTGGGGATTTTGCTTCTGCCTTCTACAGAAACAGAATCTTGCCTACAATCAGCATCTGTGAGATGCAGCTCACATATTAAAACAATTTGGGATTGTAGGCTTAGGCAATTAAGGCATCCGTGAAGCCAAATTAGAAACTTTGCCACCTAAGCTGCTGCATATGCACTGCTAATAATACAAAACAGCAGTGAGGGGTCCTGAAACCAGGACTCTCTGTTCCTGGTATCATATAAAGATATTACAGATTTAATATTAGTGTTTTTCTTCCATTGGCTCTACATTGAGTTTGATTAACGGGAAAGGAAATTCTCTTTGCAATTAACTGGCCTTACAGAATGGTGTCATATGTCTGAAAGCTATTACTGCTATTACAAATAACCAAGAGACATGATATTCTCACTTGCCCTCTTTTTAATTGGGAAAAGAAAAACATTCTTTGTGAAGTCTTCAATACTCACATTCACTGATCCATTTTTTTTTTCATAATTCAGACTAAAATGGGAGATTAGGGCACCTTCCTATATGCAGGGAACAGATTTTACTTTTACATAGCTGTCTTCTGTACAAACTATGGTGCCTTTTGTATCCCCGACACTGTGGGGCTGATTTTCTTCTGTGCTCCTGGTTGCTCAGGCAAGGAGGCCCAGGGCAGGTGACACTCCGGAGGGCTGTGCTGCCATCCAGAGGGACCTGGACAGGCTGGAGAGCTGGGCAGAGAGGAACCTCATGAGGTTCAATAAGGACAAGTGCAAGGTCCTGCACCTGGGGAGGAATAACCCCAGGAACCAGGACAGATTAGGGGTCGACCTGCTGGAAAGCASCTCCACRGAGAGGGACCTGGGAGTCCTGGTTGACACCAAGTTAACCACGAGTCAGCAGTGTGCCCTCGTGGCCAAGAAGGCCAATGGGATCCTGGTTTCATCAGGAGGAGTGTTGCCAGCAGGTCRAGGGAGGGAATCCTGCCCCTCTCCTCAGCTCTGGTGAGGCCTCAACTGGAGTACTGGGTGCAGTTCTGGGATCCTCAGGACAAGAGGGATATGGAGCTTCTAGAGAGGGTGCAATGTAAAGGGATAAAGATGATTAAGGGACTGGAGCATCTCCCGTATGAGGAAAGATGAAGTGAGTTGGGCCTGTTTAGCCTGGAGAAGTGAACATTGAGAGGGCATCTGATCACTATGTGTAAGTACCTGAGGGGAGAATGTAGGGAAGAAGGGGCCAAACTCTTTTCAGTGGTGGCCAGTGACAGGACAAGGGGCAGTGGGTACAAGTTGAACCACAGGCAGTTCCATGTCCATGTGAGGAAGAGCATCTTTCCTGTGAGGGTGCCAGAGCCCTGGCACAGGCTGCCCAGGGAGGCTGTGGAGTCTCCTTCTCTGGAGATCTTCCAAACCCGCCTGAATGCCGCCCTGTGCCCCGTGCTCTGGGTGTCCCTGCTGGAGCAGGGGGTTGAAATAGCTGATCTCTAGAGGTCCCTTCCAACCTCAACCATCCTGAGAATCTGGGGGTGATTCTTCATCCTCTGGATTGTGGCTCTGAGTTACAGCATTCATGTGATCCGCTCTCCCCCATGAAGACTGTGGGACGTTTGACCCAGGGGARTGTTTTTTCCAACCCCTGCGAGATGTCAGCACCGATCATCCAGCAGCTCATTATGGACACTGAGCGCAGGGGAGCCAGAGGGAGGCTTGGAAACACCGGAGCTGCTGTAGCTACCTGCAGGAACATGGCGGACCGGGAGAGCCAGCGTTTGTAGTCCAAGAGCCTTTCCGTCTCCTCCGAACAATCACACAAAGTAATGGGATGTGAGTGGTCGCACTGACTGAAGAGCAGGACTTTCTCCTTCTCCAGCTTTCTCTAGATTAAAAAAAAAAATAAAAAAAAAAAATTAAAAAAGTGCTGTTAAAGAGACAAAAAAGAGACAAAGTGAGATGAGGAATTAGGTTTGTCTTATTCTAACCATGGGGGCAATTTAAAACAAAGCCTCCTATTTTTGCACACTGCACTCCTGTCATGGCCAAGCCACCGGCCTGTGCCCCTCATCCAACCCGCCAAGCTGACCACCAAAGAGGGCGGCACGGCCATCTGCTCCCCTTCATGCGCCACGTGGAGAAGGAAGCTGGAAGCGTGGGGAGCGCCCCGGGCTTGCTCAGAGCGGGGCCTTTTCGCCCGTTTTGGCTCGTTAGAGCAGCGCCGCCCGGTCTCGGTCACCCCAGCGGGTGACCCCAGCGGGGCCCGTGTTGCCAGCAGGGCGCAGGCCGCAGTTGGTAGCTCTCTGCACGCGCCACGTGCCGGGGAAGGTGAAACCTGCGGGAGGCTCGCGGGCCTTCAACAGGAGTGTTCAAACCCCCCATTTATTGTGCTGGAGGAGAAATGAATCCGCTAGGGACAGGAGCAGCAAGAGCAGGCTGCTCATTTGAGCAGTGTGACTAGAGACCCATGGGCCCAGCACAGGCAGCACTGCACTTTCCATCCTTACTTCTTTTACACACGAGACTTGGTGTCAGTGTGAKGAGCCTGGAGGTCACGAGCCCCCGATTACCCCAGGAACGGGTTCAGTCAAACTGCCGCTCTTCTCCTGTCTCCCCAACACGATCCCCCCACCAGGTGCCGAGGGGCAGCCGTGCCGGAGCGTGTCTCCTTGCTTTGCTGAGTATGTTAACGAGACRGCCAATTAAAGCATATTTTTAAGATGTTTCACTGACCTCGCAGCACGCAAAAGCAGCCACGAGACGTGTCCTTATCCATGGTGCAGTTACAGGGCTGCTAATTTATCTCCTCGATTCCTCAGACCGGGAAAGGTTTGTTTCTTGCAGGGCTTCTGTTCCTGTTTAAAGCTACTGCACTTCAGCGTGGCAGATGAATCCAGGCAGGACTGAGATACCACGGGAGACATTTTAGGGAGAAACATTCATAAACATGGTACAAATGAAGTACGTTCTTGCTTTTTATGCTTAACTAGCAGGTAGAAGTCCTACTCTTCTGATCCTCTCTCAGGTTGACCCCAGTTTGGATGGGGTACCTGGATCGGCCTGTTCTGTGGGGACATGGTCGAAATGGCACCACTGTCACTTGTATGTCCTGGGCTTRTTCTTTCCGGGGCATTTCTGCTCCGCAGGCAATAACAGTGCCTGGGCCGTTATTAGGCAGCGGAGAGTGTCTCCAGGTTCATGTGTTCAGTGCCTCTCAGGCTTTGAACACATGAAAATAAAAGAGCTTTCCTGCATGGCAAATGGATAGTTCGTTAGCTGCCAGCCGCTAATTGTGTGCAGTCCTATCCCGTGGCACACGCTGATAATCGCCAAGCCGCCTTCTCGGGCGCCTTTGAAGGATAAGCTGCTTTGCCTTCATCTCAGCGCAGGGCATGCACGCAGGCACTTCCCTGCAGAGTGTAATTCGCTATAAATTCACACCCCGCCTAACATTTGCATTGAGAGGTGCTGAATTTGCACTGGAGGAACTTAGTGTTTCTCAGCGCTCTGCACCACATACAAAGCGGTCGCTTAAGATGCTGCTTTTGAAGGTCTTAGTTTGTCGTGGTCTTGCCAGTAACAGTGGGTGCTCGTCCCACGTCCCATTTTTGATAGACAYCACTTGCTTTACCTGTTCTCAATTTTATAGCAAACAAATGGTCCCCAGTTCCATTGCTGGAGCTAACTGAACAAGCTCATTTACCAAGCAAGTCCAAAGCTCATCTTCTAAATAGAGAAAATAAACAAGAAAATGAATTTTCATAATTTCTGTCTTTGATTTATTCATAATAAGAACTATTTACTTGGCAGAAGTTGCGAGACCATCTGTCTTTCCGATATGTAATGACTCCAAACTCAGTGAGCAATGTTGGTAAAGGAAAACACTCGGAGCTGGTTTCAGACCTGCTGTGAGCAGCCACAACCCCATCACTTGACCCATTTATTTACACCGGACATCTCTGAGATACCGCTAGCCGCAGCACCTGAGACACACCATTGCTTTAGGACCATTAACATTTTTATTAATTGCCCCCTTCTTTCAGCTGATTAATGTAAGCTTTGTCTGTACCTTCTGAGTAAAACCTGGCACAGAGTTTATATTTAAATATGTTAATTTTTCAGTGCATGCCTGTGTTTTAAAAGCTAGATAAATAGGTACAGACAGGATGTACCAACCCATACTCAGGCAACTAAAGAGCAACTGTGTCAGATCCTTGGAGAAAGGTATGGGTTTTTTTTCCAAAAGAAGTTGCAGGGGACAGGGTCGTTTGGGGAATTGCTAATATAGCAGTAAGTTGCAGAAAGGTGTACTCGTTACTGGGCACACCTCGGAGGTACTGCTGAGGCCGGTGGATGCGTAATGAAGAGAGGAACTGTGACTCTGATTTCATTTAAACCRTAAGTGGTTCCACTCCAGGTAATGGACCAGCTTAGTAGGTGTGCATGTGGGCAGCAGCCGTGGGGAATCAGGAGCAAACCCAGGAAAGTCTCCAACTCCTGSGGCCGTGTAGCTCCCTTCAGACCTCGGCAGCAAGAGGACAGATATCCCACTAGGTTTGATGCATTACAAGGAGAGCTGGTAGCATAAATAATTTACAAAAAGGTGCTTTTGGATGGCTATAAAATAAATGAATAGCCCATAGAAAAAGAAAAAAAACAATTCAAAGCCCTGTGAGTTATAGGAAGAAAAAAATCATAAAGAAGAAAGTCCCATCTTGCCAGACAAAACAGTGTGTAGCAGAGGGGTTGTTAGCTCTTCTGCACACGCCAAACGCAAGGAAGACCCTCGGGTGACAGGTATGGGGCTGGAAATGACCCGGCTGGCAGGGGCCGCCTGCTCAGGGACCTCCTCAGCGGGAAGGGCAGAGCGGTGCAGCGCGGGCCGGCCCGGCACACCTCGGTAGAATCCAACAGCCCCAGTGCACGGACAGCGTTGGATTCTCGCAGCCAAACTCAAGCGTGGCCCTGGCTGCAAGGCAGGGTGATTTTGCTGCCGGGAGACATGAAAGGGCTGAGAGGACAGGGGGATGATCCCAGGACACCGTGCAGTGACTGTGTGAGGACAAGGACAGCGCCTGGTAGGCAGAGAGGGCTCCTGCCCCCATGGCACGCTCCACCGCTAAGCAATACACGTCCAGGAGAGGAAGGAACGAAAATAGAAACGGCGGAACTGCTAATGGAGCAATGACTGATGATTTCCAATTAACAGTAAAATTAGAGCTATCACAGAAGCGTGATAACTTTACTTTAGAGCATATCTTTGGATTTATCTCTGTCACTGTCATTATCCCTAGCTAGAAAGCTAACAGATGTGAGTAAAACCTTCCCCTTTCTTTTCCAGATGTTCCTACAGCAGCCAACAGTGTCCCTGAGCTTTAGCAATATTCCGCAGTCGGAGCCACAGCAGCAGCTACCGCAGAGGCCAGGGGTCATCTCCCAGCAGCAGCTTGTTCCCAGTCCTCAGCTCCAAGGGCAAATGGCACCTTCACAAACGGAGAACCAGCAAGCACTGAGAGAAGCCAGTATGATACCGAGCCAGGTAACCATTTCCTCGGAACACAGAAATGTTTGTTATCAAATAGCAAGTAAAATCACATCAGTCCCATGTCTTTGCCTTGCGCCCCTATTCCCTATATAAAGGGCCTGTCTGTAGCATTCACTTTACCTTAAATCTCTCCCATAAGACCCCAGGCAGAAGTGTTACTGGAGCAGCTGTTTCAGCCTTAAAACTGGGCAGGAGGACCATGCAGAACATGTGGATGATCCTTTTTTCTTTACTTGGTCACGCAGGAAATCTGACTGACCGCACAGTAAACCAGCAACCCTGGACAAGCCTTAACCTGGCTCTTGGGGGCAGATCACTCTCTGAGGCCAAGGTAGCCTCAGATAGCCTCTTGTAGCCTCTTGACCAGCGCAGCTAAACCTGCTGCAGTGTGGCAGCACATGGCTGCACTACTTGGAAACTAGTCTGGTCCCAACTCCAGTTACTAACAAGCAAGCCCCAGGAAAGCTCAGAGCAGCCTGGCACAGGCTTTGAGGTTGTTTGGGGGGCTTTTTTTCCCCCCTTACTGCAGATTTATTTCCAGTGTTACTTCTTCCACCCAACCCCTGTTAGCCCATTCCCAGGACCATTAGCTCCTACCCCTGCTACCTCAGCACGCAGCGCCCACAGCCGCGTGAACCCCTCGGGGGCAGCTTATACCCCCCTCGTGTGACGATAACGGCTCTGCGGAAACAATAAGAGGGGCATCTGTGCCATAAACAGAAACCAAATACTAAAGGGGGGGGCTGAGGGTGTGTAAGGGGGCGCCGCGCCCCGCGCTAACGCGTCTCCCGCCTCTCCCACAGGGCGCCAAGGCGGCGCGCGCCGCGCAGGGGCCGGGCGGCAGCC